TCCCTGGATTTTTTTTTTTTTTTTGGTACTGGGGATTGAACTCAGGACCACTTGACCACTGAGCAACATCCCCAGCCTTGTTTTGTATTTTACTTAGAGACAGGGTCTCACTGAATTGTTAAGTGCCTCACCAATGCTGAGGCAGAACTCACAGTCCTCCTGTCTCAGCCTCCTGAGCCACCAGAATTACAGGCATGAGCCACCTCATTGGCCCCAACCCTGGATTTTTCGCCCAAGTCACTGGGATCACCTCATCTCCCTGGCAACAGCTGCTGCCATCTTGGTCATGGATAGAAAACCACAAGCCATATTTATATGTCTGCCAAGCCCCATAGGTTGCAGTATTGTCACATTGCTGTCTTCATGCTAACTTTGAGAACTGGGGCTTTGGAAAGTAGACAAAGGAAAATGTTTAACTTAGTCATCCCCCTGTGTGTGGGATGGGGCACAGGGTATTTTAGAACACTCTGCAAGATCTGGACTCTGGGGTTTAAGGAGCCCTTAGTATAAAGAGATTATGACAGGCAGATTTTGGCTAATATGGAATTGTGAGTAGCAGCAGCAACATTTGACAATTATAGCTGGATACTTCAGACTAAATCGGTTTTCTCTATTCTCCCGGCTTGAGCCATTTTAGTGATCAGGACAGTGTCAGTGATGCAGACTTAACTGGCATATAGGCTAAAGACTGTCACAAAGATGGGCCAGCAAAGTGGAGGAGCTTGGCTCTTAGATATAGCACAAAGTAGCTGTCAGGATACTGAACTTGGTGGATGGGCAGAACTTGGGCACAGGCTCAAGGACCTGGTGGAAGCTGCAGGTGTCTCCTCCCAAGTTCATAAGGAATGGATTGAAGCGCTTGCCACTGAGAGAATGTTAGGTCAGTCATAAGGAGTTGAGCACACCTAAACCTCCTTTTCTCATACACACTGACAAGTTGTAGTGGCTGGGCACAATGGGGCATGCCTGTGATCCCAGCTACTCAGGAGGCTGAGGCAGGAGGATTGCAAAGTTGGAGGCCAGTGTGGGCAACTTATCAAGACCTTGTCTTAAAATAGAAAAAAAAAAAAAGAAAGAAAAAAAAGGGGCTGGGGATATAGCTCAGGTGTTGGAGCAGTGTTTGTTTGAAAGGGAATTTTGATTTCCTTGTGTCAGTGTTAAGCTCAGAGACAGAAGAGAGAAAAGTGAACCAAATACTGGTGTCACACACAGCATCTCTTCCCTGTCTGTGCACCTGATCTTTGAGTATAGTCTCCTGTTATCTCCTAGGATTTTGCAAACTCCTTTTGCCTGGGGGAGAGGGGAAAAGAGATTCATCTTCAATACTCTTTTCTCAGGGTTCTAACACAGACCAGTTACCAAGGCTGCTGAGATGCCCTCTTCAGTACCTTTCAGATCTCTCCGCATCTTGATCCTCCCACCTCCAGTGTGAACCGCTGGCCGTAAGCCCACTTTCAGTCTCCAGGGAGGCCAGGCCGTGCATCCTCCTCTTGCTCTGGCTCGCTAACCTTGGTGAGGGCTACTCCACGTGGGGCCTGGGGAGAGGAGGACCTGCAGGACAATGAGAAGCTGACTAGGGGGCTGATCCTGATCTGTGGCTGAACCTAGGAGCCACTTGAATGTCCTTGTCCTTTCTGCTTACACCTGGGAGGTGAACGTGTGGGCTGAAGTGGGTTACACACAGTGTCTTGCTCCCATCGGATGTTACAGGGCTAGATTTGGTTGATTGATTGATATTTATTGGACCTCTGTCATGTCTGGGTCAATACTACAGGCCCCAGGGGAGGAGGCGGAGATACATTTGAGAAGGTCCCTTCTTGTGGAGAGCTTTATACTTCAGTAAGGGGAACGTGAATAGGACATCATTTGAGCGAATTGCTGTTTCTTTTGTATTCCCAGCAAACAGAAGAAATGTGAGATCTGGTATGGAGGGATTTCGGGGAGAAGGGGGCTAGGATGCATCTTTTAAATGTTGTAGAAGTCACTGTGGTAGAAAATAAAGTGATGACTGCCATCTGTTTTACTATCTGCGTGGATTTAGGGATTCGCTTAATGCCTTCCTGTCTGAACCTGTACAATCAGGAGGAGATAAAGCCTGTGGAAGTGGTTTGTAAACTAGAGAGCTGGAGAGAGGTGAATATTTAGGCTTCTGTCTGTATCGCTCATTCATGATGGAATTGTTCAGTCTTGTATCTGCGCCCTTCTGTGATGACCAAGCAGGGGTCCTGTGCTCAAGGAGCTCCTGTTTAGGGCTGGAGGCAGACTTGCCCCAATATATAGGACAGGAGTGGCAGCTAAGGGACACACGGAATACCAAACAGTAGGGAGACACATAGTTATTTATGGAGGGAGGGGGTGTAGAGAGGCGGCAAGTCCGTGTGTGATGGGAAACCAAGATAGAGGACCATAATGATGATCATGGAAACTTTTTGGTCCATGGGGAGAATCTGCCTACAAGAAAAAGGATATGTTTAACTTTTGCCTTTTACTAAACTGAGGGCTACTGTGAATGTTAACTTGTCACTTGCATGGAAAGACTAGTGT